AGTCAGGATGTGGGTTAAGAGACGATAAACATCCACCCTTTCGATATTTTCCCTTTCGACATTTAGTATACATACCGATTTTCAATGTAGAACAATTATTTGATATAAAGAAATTTTAGAAATAGAAAATCGATGTAATCAATGTAAACAATTATGTTTTCCAAATACTATTAATCAAACAGAAATTACATGTGGTTGTGCACAATATTATAATCTAGCTGATGATAAACATTCTTGCATACCTGATTGTCCTGAGTAAGTAATAATACATATACACATTTAAAATACATCTAGATAATTCCCAAATTTAGACATTTTTTTAATTGTCAACTATCGAAAAAATGTATTCCATTTTATCAATATTGTGATGGAATTTCTAATTGTATATTTAATGAAGATGAAAATAACTGTCAAGGTTTGTGTCATGATATTAAAAATAAATTTTTTTATATAATTCTAAAATAGCATGTAATAATACTTCATCATTTCATTGTTCGAGTTCTTCGAAATGTATAACAATCGCTGATTTATGTAATAATATAACTGATTGTTTACTTGGTGAAGATGAACATGATATAGTTTGTAAACATTTTTGTGAATGGCCAAGTTTAAATATGTGTACAAGTGAGTGAAATATGTATGAGACAAAAAATAATCTACTTCATTTTCTAATAGAAAAATATCCGAATTTATGTTCGGATGTAGAATTTTATTGTGATGGAAAATGTGTATCGATTACACACCGATGTGATCATGAACCCTATTGTTGTAAGTATAATAAACTATTGTGTAAAAATTTATTGAATTATATCAAAATTTTAGATGATGGTGCTGATGAACCATTTGATTGTATAAATGTTACATGTCCTCATGAATATTTTAAATGTCCATTATCAGGAAAATGTATACCATTTGAAAAAGTTTGTGATAATGTTGAAGATTGTCCAACAATTGATAGAATAAATGGAATGATTGCTGATGAATCATCACAAGCATGCAGTATGAATTTCATAGTTTTACTTTTTTTTTTACTAAAAATGAACTTTATTTTTATATATAGATTTCGTGTTAGATCATTTGGCTAATTTAACAACAATCATTCCTCCACAAATACATATGACATGTGAATCAGCTGATTTATTTCGATGTAAAACAAATGATTTTTGTATAAATCGAACTTATGTTTGCGAGTATGTCTCTATATTAAACAAATAAAAACTTATAATACTAAATCTTATAGTGGTGATCTTGATTGTTCGGATTCGTCTGATGAAGAAAACTGCGACAATAATAATAATAATAATGGTATTCTATCATTAGTATTACATAAAGATTATACTTGCATGAATGGTTATCGATGTGCACAACAACGACATGAACTAGATGATTCGATTCCATTGTGTATACCTTTAAATGAATTATGTGATGGTATTAATCAATGTCCATTAGGAGATGATGAACATCAATGGCGTTGTCGTAAGTCAATGAATTTCATTGTATGATATTTTATCTTGCGTTCAGGTAATGATTGTGCTAATTGTGATCCAACTTCGAGTTATTGTGAGCTGATTAATCGTTTACCTATTTGTCAATGTAAAGAAGGTTACGTTAAAATAGCGAATGGGTAAGATTAAAAATCGTGAAAAATCGGTTTTCGATGTTTTTTTGACCCTGCGGACAGACAAGCTCAATCATTTTATATTTATTTAGAAGTTGTATCTTGGAAGATAACCTTTGTAATTGGTCGTATGGTATGTGTTCACATACAAATCTATCACAAATAAAAGATAATCTAAATTCTTGTATAAAAAAAACATCTCCTGTCAATTGTCAATGTGATCGAGGATATAAACTACAAAACATATCATGTATTGTACAAAGTAATCAAACTTTTAATGTAATGCTTAATCCTCATGCATCATTTTATCTTTATCAACATGATTCAATTTTCGTAGTAAGTTTTCTTCGAATTCATTTTGTTTTTTTCTATTTAATAATATTTCTAGCCAGTAAATCCTTCTCATCATTTAATTGATGCTGTATTTGTTCCAAATAATAATACTTGGACTTTATTGTATACTGAACAACGTAATGGACATGGGTTTATATGGCAACAAAAACTCAATCAAATATTTAATTTAACAAATCGTTTAGAAAATAATGCAACACAGGTTTAATTTTTCTAAAAAATTCTTTGTTTTTTGTTATAATTTCAAAAATTTCTAGATATGGTCATCATTAATTTTTCATTTTACATCCTTAGAAATCGATTGGATTCATCGTTTTGTTTATGCACTTTATGATGATCCATCATCGTCATCAAATGGGATTGAAATCATGTATGCAACTACAAATGATTATACACAGCTAATATTTGTTAATCGATTAACATTTTCTAATTTAAAAACAATTTCATCAATTAATGTTCAACCTTTACAAGGGTAAAACATTAGTTTTGTTCTATTAAAATAAATCTTTCCATGTATAGATATCTTTATATAAGTGCATATTATGATGCACAACATTCTTTTATTTATCGAAGTTTACTTGATGGATCTAATCTTGAAATATTTTTAATACTCCAATATCCAGTATTAAGTATGACAATTGATTATCGTCATCCACGTTTATATGTTATGTTATCAAATGGTAAAATTGAAAGTTATGCAATTGATTCAAGTCAACCATGGAAAACAGATGTTTATTTTGTTACAAGTAAATTATTTTGTTTCTTTTTATCTTTACGAAATTTTATGAATAGATTTTCGACCTTATTCTATTAATCTCTATGATGATATACTTGTTGTTATGGTTTTTAATACAACAGATTCAACATATGATGAATTATGGATAGATAAATTTAGTAAAACAATAACAGAGAAAAATCGTAAATTAAAAACACCGACAATTATTCGATATATACATGAATTTAAATATCCAAATATTGATATATCGAATAGTAAGTAACTGTTTTATTTACCATCTACATAATATATTAATACGATCTTTCTAGTGGTTAAACAAGTTTGTTCGGATTCATCATGTCCAAACGGTCGTATTTGTATATCAACTCCATCATATCAACCACTTTGTATTACTCCAGGACGTATGTATTTTTACTTGAAATCTATTTTTTGTTATAATAGCCTTCTTCTTTTCTGGATAGAAATGAATTTATGTAGTTCATCATGTCATAGTCGTGGTATATGTTCAAATGGTCATTGTGTTTGTTCGAATCAAACATATATCGGTGATGATTGTGAAATATGTCGATTAACAGATACAGTTCATGTTGGTTGTTTTCATATTGGTAATGATTCACAACCACCTTGTATGTGTTATTTATCACGATCTAAAACTCGACAAACACCCTATTTATGTACAACACTTAAAAATGATCGTGAAGAAATTGGTAAAATTTATCTTATTTTTTTGTCTTTTCAATGAAGTTTTCATTTAATAGAAGTACCTTGTGATCGTATTATAACACCAACAGAACGTGAAGTATGTTCACGAACATTATTTGGTGAACCCTCATGTGGTACTATGAGTCATTCATTAATTTTTCATATTCAAACACAAAGTTGTATTTGTCGCGAAATAATCAATAGAAAAATAAATTGTTTTAATAATGGACTTTTGATTATTGATGATTCTAAGAATTCATCGACATGCTCGTAAGTCTAATCATCTCGTTTTTACTGACCATTTCATTTTCTTATCTCAGTTGTCCGTCACCATTTTTCGGAAATCAATGTCATTTGACACGATGTAATAATTATTGTCAAAATAATTCTACTTGTACACTTAATGGAACGATTCCTATTTGCAAGTAAGTTATTCTATTCATTTATAAAATAAATTATCTTCTTCTTATTTTTTAATGTAGTTGTTTAAATGGTTTTATTGGTGAAAAATGTCAATATAATCTATGTCAATCATTCATTTGTCAAAATAAAGGACAATGTATTGTAGAAAATAATAAACCAATTTGCCAGTAAATTGAATTTACTTTTTTTTTTAAATGTCGAATTTATATTCATATATTTTTAGTTGTCTATCTGGTTTTACTGGTTATTATTGTCAAATTCGACATGGTTTAGCATGGCGTGTATGGATTTTAACTATTATTGCTTTTGCTCTAATATGTACGATTGGTTATATTTTTCTTCGACATAATTCGAAATTAATTCGATTAAAATATTTATTTGCATATCATCGTTTACATGAACAAATTGGTTTAGAAATAAATTCAATGAATCCATTTTATTCACATGTACCAACCAATGATACTATTAGTCATGAACGAATATTAGAACATGATCTATTTGATGAAAATGAACGATCAGCATTAGAAATGACAAATACTCAAAGAAATAATATAACAGATGAATATTCAGATGATCCATTTTATATTGATGAAAAACAACCAATATTTAGTAATGATCGAATTTAAATTATAAGAATTGAACCGGTGTTGATATTTATTATATATCTAGTCTATGATATTTCATTAATGTTAATACGTTTTGTATCATATATTTAGCAAAAAAAATAAAAAAAATTTTTTTAGTTTATTATAATAAAGTTATTTTCAATTTTTTACAAATTAAGGGTGTGGGTGTGGCTGAGGCTGCAGTGTAAAGATAATATCCACATCGACACATCCACCCACACCCTTGTTGTTTGTCTGACTTTAGTTTCTGATTGTTAATTGATCATTTCGTTATATTGATTTAGTTGGAATAATTATGGAGGAGATGATCACATGTGAAGTTAACTAAATATCAAATCATTTCTTTTACAGCAATCATTGGCTCCACAATGATGTATTTGCACTCGGATTCGGTACTTTTCATTCACTATTATTCTTCGCAATATTTATTTTCTGTAGGAGCAGTGTTCATATCCGTTGAATTCATGAGATATTTTAATATATATTGCCAAGAGATACAAGATGAAAAAAAAAGTATGTATGTTCAAAAAAACACAATTTTCTCTTAATTGTGTGTTGTGTTTCCCAATGTTGGTGCTTGAAATGTCGGATTTTGGATTGGAAGTACTTGATTTGCTCTACGCCAAAATAATATTCGATCTTTTGTTGCTCGTCGAAAACGACTTGATGTAACTAAAAACATGAAACAACTTCCCTAAAATAATAACCCAGAAAAATTCAACATATAATTATTTGAGAAAAAACTCGATCTACATACGACATAGTAGAAATAAGTTAAAAGAGTGAAAACGGTTAATGCAAACGATTCTTCGATTATTCGATTTATATCTTTAACCATCCCATTTGTGATCAAATTATAAGTAGTGTCAATACCATATGGTAGCATGCATATAACAACAAGTGCTACTTGAATCAATGTCATTCGTGCCAATTGACGATCAGCATATTGTCTAACAAGAACTCTTGTTGATTGAATATTACGATAAGTGAGATATCCAAATACAACCATTATAACAATCGGAAAAAAACAGGTAAGACCAAGACTATAGAAGGAGAGATAAATGGTATAGGCACTGCTCATGTTTATACATGTATTCGTGATTGGTGAGATATCAAGAAATATTAAACAAGGACTTGCATGAAAAAAACACGCAAGAATTGTAATGAATACAATTCGATATGTCCACTTTATATTACTACAACGACGAAGACTAGCACTTCGTGACGTAGCAAAAAATTGATCAATTGTAGCTAAACATGAAAAAGTAAAAGACATTAAACTAAAAACGCCGATGAGATATAATCGCGATTTACACCAGATTACTGATGTACGAGTTAAATCAACGTTAAGTCCTGTAATGACAAGTCGAGAAATGAGAATAATCGTTATGAAAAGAATATTGCTAATTGAAGTAATAAGAAAATAAAATGTACAAGGAGTTTTACGATAAGTACTAACACTTAACATTACCAAAATATTCATTCCATTACCAATTACACCGGCTATCACAAATAGCAAAACAGTATAAATTGTCATTTGTTGACTAATGTATACCAAAGACATGATCATAGTTTTTCCCCTCAAATGACGTTGGAATAACTTATAGAGAATAGCATTTTATTTGACAATTACTATATGTAAGAAATAAAAAGATCAAAGTTTACGTTTGAAAAAAGTACGTTTTGTAATTATATTAAATAAGCTGAAGGTATTAATTAAGTTTTATACTGAATTTACGAACAAAAAATTTTTCACAGTATTATCGACTCTCTGTTTTTCTCATAAAAAAGACATCTGATATTGATCAACTAATATAGTTAGTCGGTATCTGAACAAGTTAATTTCTGATACAGATAAATTAATGTGAACACTCGAAATAATTTAGAGATTCAAATATTCTAACATAGAAAAAAGACTCTCGGTTATTTGAGGAGAAATGGAAAATGAAACTGAATATTAATCATGTGCTCCGGTAACGTACTATTTGTGTCACATATTGTTCCCTGAAAAGTTTTACTGTTTATTTGCTGCAATTAGATAATGAGTAGCCTTTAGGGAAATTGTGCAGAAAGAGTATTTATGAAAACGAGTAAGAATAAAGTCGTCGTCTTGATTCAATCAAGACTAAAACATAAATCGAAAAAAGTTGACAATATGTACAAGAAAACAAAGGTGTGGGTATAGGTGAGGCGACCATATTTATCTCATACCACTGCTCATACCCTTGCACGCTCATCCACATTCATACCTGCACCCTTGTTGGTAATCGCATTCGTCAAGATACACAGAATGAACCTGTTTCGTAAACGACCAAGATCATCATTATTGCAAGCACTCATAATACAAAAGAAATATCTGAAATTCTTAAGTAAATTATATTTTTCGAATGACAAACATATCATGAAGTTTTCTGTCATTAGATCGGCAACGAAGACAATTAAAGAAAACTTCCATCTCGAATACTATCACTAACCAATGAAACTAAAGGTCCACAAAAACCTCCACACATCACTTAAAAGAAACGAATCTACCAGTTTCGAACAATGAACTTCATAATTTTAGCAATAAATATATTTCATATTCTTTTCGTCACTTGCTTCTTTCGTTCGAAACCTGTAACTTCTGAATCAGGTTATGGTTCATCTCATACATCTGATCAGAGTTTAACTCACGTATCTCAAGAAATATAAAACATTCTTGCTTAAAATCACTTCATATAAACTACTTCTTCACAACTCACACATAACACCATATAACTACAACCTCTTCATCTTATCCAATTTCGTCGATTTTTTGACAAAGTAAAATAGACTAAACTGTCTGATGAGTTCCTATGGCAAGGGCGAAGCCGGTCATGACAGCTTGATACTCCCTCGCCCTCAAGGTGCAACATCTAAGATTGACAATCCATAGAAAACCAGAACTCTGCTGTTTTCCAATATGTTAAGTATGAGAAATTGAATTAAGTGGAAGCTATCGAATTGTATGTGTTCTTTCGTTAAAACATAGATCAATCTGTTTTTCGATTTGATGAACCATATCAATGTCGGTCACGTCCTATACGTTCAATCATCCATTGTTTTTTCTTCTTCTTATCTTTCTCGTTCAATACATATACAACTAATAAACACTATTTTATGTACCATTCAGTTCATATAAATAGGTATGAACAACTACAAAGTTCTGTAATGAGATCCTTAATTTATTAAATATATTGATCAGACAAAAAGCAATGAAAGCCTAAATATTGAAAGCATAATTAAGAACTGATTTTGAAAGATAAAAGCCACCCTAGTTATACATTATAATAATAATTAAAGAAAAAGTTATTAATAGCCATTGAGAACAAATAACAATACAAGCGAGTGACACTCTTTCTCGTGTTGTTGATTTATCTAAATTTTGAAATAATTTGTTTACTATAAAGTTTTTCTTGTTCTGCGAAATCATTATTACATAATAAATAATTGATAGAAATCAATCTATAAATATCTCATTATCATTTCATATTTATATATTCATAGACTCACGTACGTATCTAAGAAAATCATTTTTATCAACATTACAAATTTTCATGATGTTGCTATCATGTATCTATAATATTGATAAAATAATCACATGCTTAAAACTTACCACATGAAACGGAGAACTTTTGAATATCATTATTGTCAGTATCAGCAAACATAAGAGCTCCGCTTGGGTCTAATTTATTATTATATGAAGAATACAATTGATTTGGTAATACTCCATATGCTGAACCTTCAGCAATGATTATACCTGAAGTTGATCCTATCATTCATCGCATGATACGATTGCTTTCAAGTTCTGTAATATATATGTTTCTATTTGTATCTCCAACAACTGAGGATGGGTGTGGGTGTCGGTATTATATCCAGCGCTCACCCGCATCCACACCCACACCCACACCCTCAAGATGCTCCCTCCCAACCGACTGCTCGCATTATGTGCATACTCGAATGTAGGTGAAAATGTTTTTTATTTCTACTTTGTTTATTCAAATATAGATATTCGTTCAAGAACAGACCCGCGGAAAATACGCTTTTATGTCTGCGATAGAAGAAAAATTAGTGTTCCTCACAAAGACATGCATGACTAATATCAAGATGATGAATTATAGAACGAAAACCAGAAGAACGAAAACCACGAAGATCATTAAGACGGCAGGTTGCGCCATCACACTTCGTAAAAAGCTGATAATACTTATCAGAGATCCAATGATACCAGTCCGCAATTTTCCAATTTCCGAAATCCCAGACCCGATTCCATTGGTCTTGATCGCCAGTGAAATGCCAATCACGACACTTGTGGCACTTGGTACAAGGACGCCCTTTACAATAAAGTTTCTTGCAAGTGCCAGGTGTAGCAAATTCTAGAGATTCCAAATGAAAATATTAGTGTCATAATGTCATTGAGATATATTTTTCTTTTTCTTTTCTTCTTCTCTCTCTATCTTCTCGTATATATCTTGAGGGTGTGGGTGTGTATGAGAAAGAAAAGCAATACTCACCCACACCCTCGTGTTGATATCTTATATCCCTGACTTTTTATTCATAGTTAACCGTTATAATAATTTTTTCATTTAGTTAAGCATAATTTAGGAGTACTATAGAAGTCTATTCAATTTTCAATATTGACAAATATGAATACATAAACATTGTGTTATGCATATAGTATAATCACTCTTGAAGTCTTGCAGGTATGATAGTTTCCAATTTTAACCTAATGGAACTATTACTAATAAAAAAAATTTGATTTACCTGAAGGTGATGCATTGACAACTGTAGTAAATACAATTGGCATCTCATTAGTTGTATCCTGTGGAACTTTCGCTGATGGTATTAATAGTTTACCGCTGTACGTCGTCTGATATTCCTTATTATCAGTCGCATCAAAAATCTTTTGTTTTAAATCATCGATATTTAAGTCAGGATCCATATTGATTTTGGTCGGAGCGTTTTGGTCGCATTGAAACCATACTTCAACCATGTTGACTATAAATAGTCTATTAGCGAGAACGTAGAGGACTGCTTGCAACCTTTAAACCCTAGAAAAAGATAGTTTAGACAACCGAAGAAGTTCATACCTTTCTTAGAGATTCATGCATGAGTAGCATATATACATCTCTAAGAAGTACGGTTTTTTTCAAAGGTCATGTTTCATCTTTAATATCTCTGTAAAAAATAAGCAGATAACGTGAGACGTTAAGACTTGACAGGTAAATGTTTTATTTCATTATTAAAAAGATAGTTTTTTTGGAAAAACATTAAGAAATAAAGAGGATGTGGATGTGATATGAAGTAAATATTTACACCCTTTAAAGATACAAGATTTGACTATCATACATGTATTTGCTGTTAGTATCAGAGTTGTGTGGATATAATTTCAAAATATGGCATTGATACCGATGGTTTCACTAAACACCTATTACTACGTTCTAACAGTACAACTTATCGAGGATTTGTGAAAGAGCATCATAGTTAGAAGAAAAACATCGATGTATTATTTTTCTTTAGAAGCGAAATTCTTTCTTACCTTTCAGTGGCAACCACAATATGTGACTAAAATTGCACGTTGTAATTTTACGCGTTCTTCTGGAAACTAAGAGACGAGCGTATGGCTTCTTGCTCGGCCTCTCTTCGGATGCTGCTGTTTGCACATTACTTTGCTGCTTCAGATTCGTAAAAAAACCAACAACTTTAACCGAAGGTGGGTAGATCTGACTGTAGATATTCTATTTCATTCACCCAAACCCCCAAGAGTATTTGATCAAATTTGCCGTACAGAAATTATTTAAAATCGTCGAATGTTGTTTAGGACCTTTATTTATGGATTTTTACTTAATTTTAACTAAATGTACACCGTACCATTGCAAAACTTGCAATTAAAACTCCGAGCTGCTCACAATCGCCCCGTTGTACGTATATACGGATGCAAGGCAAAATGTGCTTTTATTTTTACTCTTCGTGTTTATTCAAATATAGATATTCGTTCAGCAACACGATTATTCAAAACACAGTTTTATGTTTGCAATATAAGAAAAACTAGTGTTTCTCACAGAGACATACGTCATCATAATAAGAATCACGAAGTGAATGATGATAACAGGTTGCACCATCACGTTTCGTAAAAAGCTTATCAGCAACATTGTACCAACGATCCTTATCCACCTGCATCCAATTTCTCCAATTGCAGACCCAATCCCATTGATCTTGATCATCAGTAAAATGCCAATCACGACACTCGTGGCACTTGGCACAAGGACGACCTTCACAATAAAGTTCTTTGCACGTGCCAGGTTCAGCAAATTCTTGAAGTTCTAAATAAAAAGAGTATACAATCACAAAATCATACAAAACGCAGACGATGGTTTTATAAGAACTCTACTCAGAGGATCGTGGCAAACTCGAAATTATCATAGAAGTGGACCATAGGACAAGGCAATGAGAAAACTATTCTCATTTACAAAGAAACACTTTTAAGAAAGCTTTCGAGAATGCAGATAATTAAAGTGATTCAGAAGTCGATATTAAAAAACTCTACAGTTTCTCAATTTAACATGCAATAGATTAACCAGTTTTGCGAATTTAGAATCTTCGAGACATTTGAAGTTTCTACAATTGAACAACGAGTTCCTACTGTGCAACAATGAAAACTTCTGGGATAACTAGTTTCAAGAATTTCAGCACTGTGGAATTTAAGGTATTTAGAAACTTGAGAATCATCAACATTTTTTTATTATGAGAATTTTAAAATTATAAGGAGTATTATAATAGTAGTTTTATTTTGAATGTAGAGGAAAGCGTGGCAATGACAATATCTTATCTTTATTTGAATGGTGTGTACACTTGATAGAGGAAGAGATCGCATTTTCGACAGTAAAAGAGAAAAAAATGATTAATGAGAGTGTGGGAGTAGGTGTGCATGAAGGTTATGGAAAGATACACCCACACCCATCTCAATGCTTTGTGACACACTCGGTGTCAATCTTTCTCGCTGTCAACAATTGTTCGCTACACTGCTTAGGAGTATGAGTGTAGGATAATGGTGGATTGAGTAGATATTCGACGCTGTAGTGCATCACAGAAAAAAATGTGCAACCAAAAATTACTCATAGTCGTTTCAAAAGGGATCCATATGTCCTATCAGTGTGAAAGAATTCCTTTGTTGTAGCATTAATTTGTGCATAGTCGACCGAGATGATCTGCCATCTAGTACAATACAAGTGCTAGAACCAATGAAGTATTTTTTTAACGAAAATGACAATCACATTCTAAGCAACATACCTGGTTTCGGTGGCTCTGGTTTTGGCGTTAGTACATTAGAAACATACTTGGATTTAAGTAGTTGTGATGCATCTAAAAGAAAGCAAACAATGTTATTGACATCTGAATGAGTTCGTATTGACGATATAGGGTAGCCTAGATGCTCAGTCAGAATCTGAATAGTAAATTTTCTTTAATAAAACACTTAACTTTAAACTTGTCTTTTTGACGAAAAGATACAGTAAAACATACTCTACAAACTGGTTTTTTGACTGAACCTACTAGCTCATATCATATAATAAGAGAGTTATAAGCTTAGAAATTTTGATCAGAAAAAACAAAAAATTAACGGCAGTGACAGAATGAGTAGATTCTCCGTATTGTATTGATATCTTGGGTAATTCTCATTGTTCAGACTTTATCTTTTTTTCACAGGATTCACTATGAGATTCTGTACAAAACGATATAGTCTATTAAGATAATATGTTTTTCTTGTTACTGGAGCTCAACTTCTCTGAATAGTGAGAGTAGACAAAAGTTTGCATTTTATTCACTTTTTTAGAGAGCATTATTACAATTAAAACACTAGGACTTTCATTATGACATGCTTACAGCTCTTTTCAATTATTGATGTACTTGAATAGTTATTTAGAGTGAATTAACCATTAATATAAGCATCAAACACGTTATGTTGAAAATCAAAGTACTTTAAGAGTAGTATTTCTTTCTAAAAATATGAAGGATGTCTAGTAAAAAGAAGAAGAATACTTTTTTTGACAGATATGCCACACCTAGGATCTCTCCACACACCTAAACAACTATCATCTTTTGTCATGAATGATCAACTTATTCCATTATTCAAAGGAACATAGTCTCTGAATTGATTCATTTCTTGAAATGCATTTTCGTATCAAGAGGGATGTTCAAATTAGTGCGATTTGGAGATGGCTAGAAGAAAGAAAACATTACTTATCTTTTTATCAATTAAGGGAATTGTTGCAGAGATAGTGCATGCACTCTGATCACAAGTAAAGTTTGGAAAATACAGTTGAATGTGGTAAGAGAATGATTATAAGGTTGCCATACCTTAATTCTAGTGCTCACTTCTGAGCTACCTTATGCGGTATCTTGATCTAATGAACAGAAAACGGAACATGTTTCTGAGAAATCAGTCTTGAAAATCGGATCATTCAATGTTTCGAAGCAGAGTGTGGGTGAACGGGTATCTCTTCTTGCTGTACCTCAGAACCCACCACTATCCACATCCATAAAATCATGACGATTAATAGACAGCGTGGTACATTCTAACTTGCTACCAGCTTTCAAGATACTTCTGATGTCTGATTCTCGTTTTTCTACAAGAAATCACTTACCATTCTCACGAAACAGAGATCTAACCAACCCTAAATTTAAATTTATTTACTAGAAAACAGAGCAGCAGATATGCACTCACTCTCATTCTCAGCAATTATTTATGCGGTACCTTAGTTCTATATAGGAAAATATAGAGTGAGAAACTTACTAAATGGTTTCGTTGGGATGGAGGGTTTGGATGTAATACACGCAGCATCCATTGCTGGCGATACTTCTTCAACGCCATCAGTTATTTCCAACAAATGAATGACACGTAGATTGCCATGCTTCATCGCATTACTGCGCACGCGTAATTTGGTCTCCATGGGTAATATCACCTCTTCTTCAGTGGGAAATAAAGTGTAATCAGTAATGTTCTTTGCATTGGCGGCTTCGATCATAAATAAGGTGGAATTTTTCTCTGAGTTTAGAAAACTTTCCACGACTTCGATCGCCAATGAGCAAGAAGTAATACTCCACCAAGTTAATACATCATTTTTCTCATAATCATCACTTATGTCGTGCGACACTCCACGCCAAATACAGCCTTTCACTGTGGGTAATTTTCTTAGGCCACTATCGAATAATCTCAAGTACGAGAACCAGGGTACCGCTCTTTTTCGATTTTCATCACGCAATATTTGATTCAATGCAATATAGAAGCTATACTCGCCAGCTTCCATAGTATATAATAAAATTGCCGCTGATTCATCACGACTAAGACCATGTTCCGATGGATAATGGCAACGTTTCGTTGCTTCGCTAATCGAACGATTTAGCTCATTGATTTGATCGGTGACCTTCGATAATGATTGTGTAAGAGAAACCAATGGGTACGCCCAATAACCAGCTATCGGTGACAGATTCTTTTTCTCTTCATGGAATTCCGTAAATCGATTTGTCATCGTAGAACCAATCATTAAACCTGAAATTTTTATGTAAAATATTTAAAAAGCCAGGAGAGTATCGATACTCACTTAAAAATGGAATAAAAAAATAAAATTCTATTGAATTTTTCTTTCTTTCAATCCGAAACAATTGCATTTCTATTCGCTCTCTTTCTTCTTGAGGGTGTGAGTGTGAGGCGGATGCAGGTGCTTGGTCAATACACTATTCGCACCCACGCATACACCTACACCCTCAAGAAAAAAATCTGTATAAATCGTTGTCATTTTACAAAAAAAGAAAGATAGAAAGAAGGATTATTACAGTAATGTTTTTATTCTTATATGTATAACCACTGTAAAATGAGACAAAATATCTCAGTTTTCATTTCTTTTTTAAAAGTAAGTATTAATACAAGCCTTGTATTACAAGGCTGACTAGATTAATCATATATAAGTATGCTTTTTTCCTATGATTATTTGGTACTTACATTCACGTTGATTCATATAATGTGGATCTGATGATAATATATCTTCTGATTGACTTTCTCGTTTTTCTTTTGAGTATAATGGTATTTTATTTAGTTGGTAATGTTTATATGTATGTGTATCAACAACATATAATTTCACAACACCGTTTGTTTTTGCTTTACCCAGTTTCTCTAATATAGACTTGCTTACATCATTATCAACAAACTTATCATCAATTTCAATAATACGATCACTTTTACGTAATGTTGAATTACTAGCTGCAGTATTTGGAAATACTTCTTGAACATATGCACCAATATCATTCTCACCATTAACAAGTTCAAAACCAAATGATAGATCAGATTTATTTAAATGTAGAGTACATGTACGTGGTTGATTTTTGGGAAAATTTAAATAATCATTTGGCATTGTTGGTGGTGTATTGTAGGTTACAGCTAATGATGAACTAATCAAAATATTTCGTTTTTTTAATGCTTGATAAAAACGTTTTTCAACGACAAGTAATTCAATAGGACCATTACTATCACGAGCTGTTTTAATTGCACTTCGTACTTCATTATATTTAGCTTCAGATACATCTTGTTGATTAACAGCAAGAATAACATCAAGAATTTTTAAACCACCAGCCGCTGCAGGACTACTGGATTCAACAAGTCGGACTAAATGCGGTGGTCGAACAGCTTCTTCAAAAGCGAAACCAAGACCTTCAAAATTTGGCCAGACACGCAATCGACATAAACGAATATTAGCATAGCGCATTAGTTCAGCATCACTTCGTACAGACATAATGAGATTTCTCTCTTGCAATTTTTTTCTCCAAAAAAAGTTAATTTACTTTACCAATGGAATATAGGTGTTAATATCCAGAATAGAGGCTGTCTAAAACATCATATATCGTTATATATTATATATGTGTATCATTTCAATTAAAGAATAGATGTCTATATATATATATATAGGTATGTATGTGTGTATGTTTATATATACATTCATACATCAATGATCGCAGTTCGAGACCAGACATGAGATAGCAGTTTGGTTTGTTCTTTCTTCTTACATACGTATTATTTTGCTTCAGAAGCGAAACTCCTTCTTACCTTTTCGCAGCAAGCACAACATGTGATTGAAGTTATTCATTGTAATTTTACATGTTCTTCAGAAAGATAAGTGATAAGCATATGGCTTCTAGCTCGGCCCCTCTTCGAGAGCTTTTACTTACACATTACTTTACTGTTTCGGACTGATAAGAAAATACCAACACTTTTGACTGCCGCAACGAATCTTACCTAGTATAATTCTCACAAAAATTGTACTTTTTTGTCTGTAACATATTAAAGTTAATGTGAAAAGTTCTTTTGTAAAAATGCACTTGCTGAGCAAGTGATAAACTTCTCATTTTGCCAATCGAGAGAGTGAGTGTGGATGTGAGCGATGGTACATAACGGTATGTGCGCAAGTGTGGATGTTGTATCTCATTCACCCAAACTCACGCCCCCATTTGATTATATGAAGGATGTGAAAGAGTTTCTGAAATAGATTCTAGTGGCTTCTCATTTATGTACATGAATCGCAACATAGACAAATCCTACTTTCTCACGGATAGAGATACTGAAGCTTTATTTTTAATTTTTATATTTAGATCTTCATGTGTAATAACACATGAACAAATTTTCAACAATGAATACTAGAGGACAAACTGCTGTTTTCACTGGTTGCAAGGATCATCTGATAAATAAAATATGTAAAGAGAGTTTTACTTTGTCGGTTTACGATAGTATTACATACGTTTTGCTGGAATATGCCGTGTAGAAGTTATTTAAAACCGTCTAATGCTGTTTAGGACCCTTATTTATGGATTTTTACTTAATTTTCACAAAATATACATCGTACCATTGCACAATTTATAATTAAAACTCTGAGCTGCTCGCACTCAGAAAGTTCGCGTTCGTCACCCTCTTTCTGGTCGACTGCATCCGTTGAATGTATATACGGATGCAAGTGAAAATGTACTTTTATTGTTTACTCTTGAGGGTGGGTGTGGGTGTGGGTGTGGGTGTGGGTCTAGGTGTGAATCTTCTGATAAGCTGCACCTTTACCTACACGCACACCCGCTTCGCGGATTCCCCAAGTTCCATGCATTCGGTCGATTCTATTTGATTTATAGATTCACAAATCCCAAGGGTTTAGAACTCACGGAACTTGGACATATCTCTTTTTTCCAATGATTTAAATGTAAAACTTATCCGAATAAAACTGATTAGATGAAATAATTCGGAAAAATTATAATAGTTTTTAATTTTTGGATGGTATTATATGTGTGTGACTGAATGTTCTTTTCGCGGAATGATTCATTTAGTTTGTTTTATAAAGTAACAACATTTGTCACTTTTTTTTCCTTTTTTCCAATAACGCATTTTATTGCGAAAGAATGTGTAAAGATTGGAAAGAAAGAGAAAAGGAATTAATATATAATAAAATGGATTTAAGTGCTGTGCAATTGCATATTGTTGATAAAAAACTGTTTTCTTCGCAGAAAAATAAATATTTCTACGAAGAAAAAACAAAAATCTGATGAAATAGAAGGAATTATGTTATTTGTCTAAATGGATTTTATCGATAGTTGTAGATTGTCGACACCATATTGAGTGTGCCAATGTCTGATATATCCTTAATGCAGAACTCGCCGAAATTAAAGAATAATTGTGAAGAGTGAATTGATCTGATTTTTTTCATCAATTAAGCTGTGATTTTATTTGAAAAAGAAGAAATTGTTCAAGAAAAATTCATTTTGAAGATTGGTGAAAATCGTTTTTCTTTATTGAAACTAAAAGCAAAATCTTTTGATGAATATTAATTAGATTTTCATTATTTCAAATTTAATCATTTCACTTCTTTTCTTCATCAAATTCAAAGATTTTATTCTTAAAAGAATAACAAAAATTTTATGTAGAAAATAAATAAAATATTTATTTAAACAATTCTTCACAAACAAATTTTACGTGAAGAATTAACTGTTTAACAATAAAATAAAGAATAATAAATGATAAAATAAATATTTTAACTTATTTTCTAAAATTACGTATATCTCTTGATAAAGCAAGAAACATATGTTCTCTTCTCTCACGCTTTTCCTCGATTGAATCTATTAATAACTTTTAGAAGTTATTTTCTAATTGATCAAAGTGTAGTTGGATCTCCATTTCTATTTGAAATAGAAATCTGATAACAATGTCAAATATATTTGGAAAGAAATTGAATCTTAATTTGTTGTGTTTCATTGATAATAAATCGAAATATTATTTTAATCAAACGCTGGACATTATAGAAATCGACTTTATTAGTAGAGAAATGATTTTGAACAACATTTGATTGGAATTTTATGTTTCTTTAAAATATATCGATATGAGATATCGATGAATAAAGAAACGATGAAAAATAATTTTTATTTTTATTCATTGATAATAATTTCTTCTCTTTTCCTTTAGACTTTTCAAAAATTCTTTATAGAGTAGAAGAATTATTAATACACATCTATTTAGATGTCGCTTTTATTTCAATTTCAATTGTTAAATTCTTGTTGTTGATCGAATAAAATCAAAATCATAACTGTGAACGAATTATAATTTTCTTACAATTTTCCAAGGGGGAACAAACTGATTTCCATACTAGAAATCAAGTAGAAATCACGAGAAATCAGGAGAAATCAAAGAAATCATAAGAAATCATGAGAAATTAACAGAAATCACGGGAAATCAAAAAGAAATCAAAAAGAAATCAACAGAAATCAAAAGGTTG